ACTTGAGATTAAAGTTAGCATAAATCAGCAGTGATAATAGCCTTATAATCTAGGCATGTTCGGGAGATTCGACATTACCCTTGCTAATGGGCGTACTTAAGTATTTCACTTACAGCAGAATTTGATTTTTAAGTAGTAACATGAGCATTGAAATTTCACATGGCTCTTACACTAATATCAGTTATAATGACAGTTGTAGTTTGATCAGGTCTGCCTTTTTTTACAATATTTATTTGTGATCCCATTTTGAGGCCTTAATACGTAGGAGAGCAGTATTTTAACGCCCGTGCGTAGTTAAAAAAAACTATATTGATCATCAGGAGACCCTGGTCAGTTCGTTATTGATATGCACAAAGCAACACAATGGGCTATCTGCACTGTGCCCACCAAAGGTATCAAAAGCCGGTTTTTAACGTTATAAGCCTTCAGACTTACTGCTGAGCCATTGGAAGACTTATAAGGAAAGCTAGGCATACTACTCATATAACATTTTATCCTTTTCATTCCAGCCATTATTTGAATAAGATGCTATTCTTATTTGAAGCTGTAAAGTTGGCAGAAAAATATAGTTAAAACGTTCAGATTGAATTCAATCGTTTTCATAGAGATGATTTAATGTCATTATAACACTCTTTATTATTATTTTTTCTAGTGCTTTTTATCCACATTATGTATTTCGTTATTTGTGGGTGCAATATTTTGAGACAATGTTAAAATATTTGCGACGAAAGAGTTTTTATAGTAATAAAGCAGTAAGCCATCATTTCAAACATATGTTACATCGTCATCTTAGAAGGAGATATAATAAAACGGTCATTTTCATCTAGCGTAGGTCTTTAGCTTTACAACTTTTAAAGGCGAAAACGTTTATGTAAAATTTCTTACTTTTATTATGGAATAATTAAATGGAATATTACACGCTTACTCTCGCTGCTTGGCCTTTTGCGTCCCTTTGGTGGCTTAGCGGTAAGTCCGAGGGCTTATTACTCATAACGCTAAAAATTGGGTTTCGATACTTGAGGTGGGCAAAGCACAGACTGCCCATTGTATAGCTTTGTGCTTAACAACAAACAAACAAAAGCCCATTGCGTAGTTTTGATATTAACCCCCAACCGTTGTGAGATTAGGGTTTGAAAAAAAACAACTTCTTTTCAATATCATAAATTTATTATATTACAGATGTTAGACAGACTTTTAAAGCCACAAACTAGAAAAAATAAAGAATAACAATAAAAAATTGTAAAAAGTAACAGTATTATCGCTGGTATTTTACATTTAGCGGTAAGTTTATTGTCTTGCAGCACTAAAATTAAGGGTTCGATTACCCGCGGTGGACAGAGTGTAGGTAGTAAATTGTGTAGCTTTGCACTAAGAAAACAATAGCCTTTACTCTTAATTACAAGAGTAAGACTGTTCAGCAGTCGACTGTTTGATTGGAATGTTACTCTCTTACGTAAAATAAGTATAAATAAATACTACCGATTCGAAATTGGGCAAAATAAGTATTACATGCCCATAAATTAAAGACATACATTCAATGACAAACCATTGGATAGCCACGTGTGGTTGGTAAGACGTTGCGTCTATCTGACTGTGTGTACAAGCCTTCGACATCCTAGTTTAAATGATGATATATTTTTCTCATATCTTGAACAAGATTAATTCAGTTCTAAACTTGGCACAGTTCCAAACTTGACACGTTTTTACGTTTCGGGTTTTAATTATTTATTTCTACCCTTTGTATGTAAGATTTGTACGTATATACACCTTTATCTCGCAATATGAGCATTCTTTAATATCTAAGGTGTTAGTGAGTCTTTGTTTGGCTCTGCAAATTGACTTAAATTGGTTCCGAAAAAACTTTTAAGGTATAAATACCTCATACAAGTTGGCTAGTGTAATGCAATCGATAGTAATGTAACATGGTAGAAAGCAATATTATAAAAAATATTAGAGTTTAATATTATGTATATCACTATAAGCAATACTGGTTGTAACCTTTTTTCACATTTTATTAATGTTAATTCGTTTCTTATCGAGTCCAACAGCTAACGATCATGTTTTTTAATTGGTGTACACGATAGAACGACATGAAATGGGATTTCAAAGACAGAGAATTTTGTTTAAAACATGTATCAAGCGGAAAGACTAAATAAGGCTGCGTGTAGTTTTAGTTTCGTTAAAAATGGTGCTTACTTAGACTTCACGGCTATTTACTTTTGAAAGATGATGTAAATTGTCATCCAAAGATGACGCCACATCCTTATCACGTAATCAAAGACAATACAACCGTATAAGCTCACATTAAGAATCCAAGCCTATACGATGACTGTATAGAGTGTAATGTTTTAGAAATGTCTAGTCTCATCAGATCATCAAAGGTCGATGATAAATACTGTTGTTCACTGGAGCTATATGTGGCTTTCGATCTAGAAAAATAGATGGAGCTCTTTAAGTGTACAGGTACCTTCTTTATACAGTCATATCGTCCCTCATCAGTGTCAAGATAAGTGTATATAAAAAAACGACATCTTTATATAGCAACATCAGCTCTCGTCTTTATAAAAGTGTGTGTTTATCCAAAAACTATACAAGTTATGCCTTTATGTAACAATATCAGCTCTTGTCTTTATAAAAATGTGTTGATCCAAAAACTATACACGAAAGCTGATGTTGTTATATAAAGATGTAGTTTGTATAGTGTTTGGATAAACACACACACTTTTATAAAGATAAGAGCTGATATTGTTATATAAAGATGTAGTTTGTATAGTTTTTGGATCATCACACTTTTATAAAGACGAAAGTTGATATTGTTATATAAAAATGTAGTTTGTATAGTTTTTGGATCAACACACTTTTATAAAGACGAAAGTTGATATTGTTATATAAAAATGTAGTTTGTATAGTTTTTGGATAAACACACACACTTTTATAAAGATAAGAGCTGATATTGTTATATAAAGATGTAGTTTGTATAGTTTTTGGATCATCACACTTTTATAAAGACAAGAGCTGATATTGTTATATAAAGATGTAGTCTCTTTATAAAAGTGTGTGTTTATCTATCGTCTGTATGAAGATGCACGTTTATCTAAAAACTATACAGACTACACCCTTATACAGCAATATCAGATCTCATCGGTATAAAGACATGCGTTTATCTAATAACTATACAGACTATACCTTTATATTAGATCTATCATTTTTATGATAATGTATGTATATCTGAAACACTAAATCAAGTCATTTCTTAACAGTTAAATAAGCTCCACTGGCACGATTCTCTATCATAGCCGGTCATTCGTAGTGTTGGTTTTTCGTCTAATGTAATAGTTTACACTTTCGGGTCACACCTCACAAGATTGTTTTGTTTGCTTGTTTGTTTGTAATTAAGCACAAAGCTACACAATGAGCTATTTGTGCTCTGCCCTCCATGGGTATCAAAACTCGGATTTTGTCCGCAGACATTCCCGCTGTGCCACTGGGGGGCGGGTAATTACACTGTTTGTTTGTAATTAAGCACAAGGCTATACAATGGGCTATCTGTGCTCTGCCCACCATGGGTATCGAAACCCGGATTCTAGCGTTGTATGTCCGCAGACATACTGCTGTGCTACTGGGGGGGGTCTTCACCAAGATGTCAAGACATCTATCTTTAGATAAAATACTCACAATCTATGGAAAGTGTGATGTTATGTGTGTATTAAAAATGACAGCAAAATAGAGACAGTTTTATTTAAAGAGTTTTAAAACGTGTAATGTGGTATGAAAAGCTATACTTTTTTTTTACTGAAGTTGTTTTTTTCCTAAGTGCTAGAAATAGACATGTCCATAAAAATTAGTTCAATATTTTTTTTTCAAAAAGTAAAAGTCTCTAATCTCAAAGAAACTGATAATTACATATATTTCCCTTCATTTACATTTTACAAGTTAACGCAAACTCTACCAACGCTGATTTTCAAAGTGTTATGAAACATATCTGACAAAATGATATCTATGAAAAAGATGTTTTTCGTATTCTGTTACTAGTCGCAATCTGATGGTCGCGGATTCGAATCTCCGTCCCACCAAACATGCTCGCCCTTTCAGCCGTGGGGATGTTATAAGTAACGATCAATACCAATATTCTTTGGTAAAAGAGTAGCCCAAGAGTTGGCGGTGGGTGGTGCTGACTAGCTGCCTTCCCTCTAGTTTTTTACTGCCAAATTAGGGTCGGCTAGCGCAGATAGCCCTCGTGTAGCTTTGCACAAAATTCAAAATAAACCAAACAAACCCTTTACTAGTCTAGATAGGCAATAATGTAATATTCTACGAATGCGTTATAAACTTGTTCTACCGTCGTGTCTCATCTATGTTTAACTAAAATTAAAAACAAACTTAAATGAAGCGTATGCTTATACATGTAGTTGCTTAATAACTTTCAGAAGGCATTATTACATAATGTTAAAAATAACAGAACAATATACACCAGAAAAAAAAGGAAAATAATTAAAGTAACGCAGTGACATTTCACGAAATTGTACTATGCTTAAAGAAATTTCTAGAATCGTTACACGTATAATCCCCTTAAATAATATGAATAATATAGACACATATTTCGTACTGGGATCGGAGTATCTACGTTTATAAAATATCATATTATGTTATCATACTCATCTGAATGCTTCTTACTTTTAAAATGACTTAATATTTGTTTCGTTATTTATATTCTGCATTAATCTTTTAAACTACGTGAACAACAATGATTCATGAAAAAAAAAAGGTGCATGAAATATTACAAAAATATTGTTACAAGGAAAATGTCTAAACATTCATTTGGAGCATCGCTAGACGGAGATGTGGGTAATGATCAAAGACATAGGTTGTTCACTAGATGGCGCTTCTCGAAAAGACTCGAAAGTGATAGACCTGTACAAGAGAAACGCAGTTTCCCAGCTGGTAAACTTCGTTGCTCCTTCTCTAAGATGACGATCCAAATTCTGTGAGAGAACTTACAGAACACCCGTTATAACACGCACTTTTTCTCACTCTGTGTATTATTCCAGAGGTTCTGAGAAACAGAAACATAAGTTGGTGGCATTATGGAGCTCGCACCAGAGTTTAGAGAGTCTGGTCGGTAGGTACTTTTTTTCTATTATAAGACTCTTTACAGATTTAGTAGTCGCTTTTAAACACTCATTATTATTATTATCATTATTTTAAAAGTTTTTCAATTGTTTAGATAACGTAACATTTAGAAGACTTGTTTAAGTTTCGTTTTTCTTTTATATAATAAGTGTAATTCTAAAACTTTTATTTAGCGCTGCATTTTACTGTTAGTTCTGAATTACTACATTTTTAAAATATTACTTTCTTTGTGAACGCATATGGTATATACAGTTCCAAATATAACAAATGCACCAATGTAGGAAGAAACGGCCATTAAACATGGACTCGAGGCATAAATTAGCATAAGAAACCTAGTTTCAGCTTTGTTTTGCAAATTTTTGTTGTTAATTTTTTTTTATATGGTGAAACCTTATAGTAAATTCATTTGTATAGTGAATGCCTTATAGAGAAACCATTTTTGTGTGTTACCTGTCGTTACAATCTTTGTTGTCAAGTCCGATCATGCTCTAGCTGCCGATTGTGCATCTTGGGAATGGCTCTGCAGCGTAAGTTTGTTTGCAAAAGGTTTCTGTAAAACTGTTATGTTCAAAGCACACCACTCCTCCCTGTATATTTTTACTAATACACATGATATAAGAAGATAACGGTTTCTCAGCGCCTGTCTCAACAGTCCGATTGTAAAAAATATATAAAACCTGTGTTCGGTGGCATGACGGTATACATTCGTATGGAATAGCATGAATACCCAATTTATTCACCAGCTGCTTGAGGTAAGCGACATTGAATGGGAAGTATAACTAGAAATCTTATCTTAGTGAACCCATACCCTGTTGGCCTCGTTTCCATAGAGATTTTTTGGTTATATTACATACTGTTGCCTGGGACACATGAACGATATTTCCCGCTTATTACAAGACGTCACACTTTACTTAAAGTGGTGAGGTACGACTTATTATAGGTGTCTTTCTGGGTGGTCCTGATGTCCTAAGTTGATCCATATTCTTTTGTTTTCCAATGTCATCAAACATAAGGAATATTCCCGTCTTAAGAATTATAAATCTTAGATCTAAACACATTTTAAAGATCTAAGTTTATGTATATGTTGCGTGGAAAAAGGCTTTCACATAACTGTCTCAAAGGCAATCAAGTTTGGGTAGCATCAGAACATTCAAGAAACGCTAAACAATGATAATGTGTAATTTTGATACAAGTCTTTTCATGACAACTATATCGACTGTGGTTTCACGTAACTTGCTGATTTACATATTTAAAATTTGTTTAATATGATGTATTTAACTCTATGTACAAGGATGATGGTTTTTACATTATGAAAAATAAATTACGAATTCTTTATCGTAATTTTTTCTCCATAAAATCCTTAATGTCAAAAAAATTTTTTTACATTTTTAATCTACTGTGTTAACACTCACCTACTACATACTACCAGTATGTAATATATTTTAGTCTTTCAATCAAGAATATGGAAATATAAAATTTTCAGTTATGTGTCGAAAGAACTTTTTTTTTGGATGATTGATTTTTAATACCATTTATTCAGCGCCATGAACAGATTAAACGAGCTGGATAAAATAATAATAATAATTATCAAGACGATATGTTATTTTCGGTTTCAGCGTTTCTAGATGTCTGTAGTATTTGTAAAATGAAATATGATTTGTCAAACCCCGAAGTGGAGAAAATCTAATTGGTCAATTTGATATATACTTAGTCATTCTAATGGCCTATTATAACAAAAGTATCGTCTTCGATAGAAACATAACATTAATCACAGACAGTCAGTGTTTGTCTGCGATAAGCTAGGGTTAAGAATTTAACAAATACACAGAGTTGAAAGTGGCTAAAATGATAATCAGAAGGATAATTTTCTTACACGAGTGCAAACTGGACTGGAGATTTCTATTCCTTGTTAAAAAAAAGAGAAATAAAACATGATGACCTATTACTGCAGAAAACATAACCGGTTTTATTTAAGCCAACATTTCGCCAAACAAGACACTTATTAACTGATTAAGTTTATACAAAAGATTTCAAATTAATTCGAGTCTGCGCAGTAAGGTGGACTTCGCCCGAGAATGTATGAATAAATTGAAACTACACGCAAACAAACAAGATAATACTATTTAAAGCACACATACTTTATAACACTAATTAAATACAAACAGTAAATATTACAAATTCCAGGGTGATTTTTTAACTGTAGTATATTCTCTGAAATGAACAGAGCTTCTTTAGATTTCCTGTCTTGACAACTGTGGCAGAGAATAATAATGTTTGCTGTTGTGGGACAATCAGAATTAGTTGTATCGTTTCTGTCAACAAAATGTTCAGCCACAGCAATGACTTTACTGTACAGAGATCGTTAATCCTATCCCTAATAATCCTGCCTGTCACCGATTTACACAGATCCACAAAGTTTACATGCCAAACAGTATACTATATTCTTGTGGTTACAGTTTCCTCTTTAAACCTGATTTACAGCTACGTTTCTTTTCCTAGTAAGATAAACGATATATAACCAGTTTGTCGAAAGTCTTATTTTACGCATTCTTTTTTTCTTTGGTCTACTCGAGTCCCCAGTGCTGAGGGAACTTGAGATATATTTGATTACCACAAGTCACACCCGTATACAACTAAACATAGAAGTTATTTGTGTCCGCACTAGAAGTAATGAAGAAAATTGTTGAGCATACGGATTTTTACCACACTGATGTTTGAATATGATAATTTTAATTTTTTTATATTTATCTATAACATTTGAAACTAAAGAAGCTTTATAAACTTTCTACACTACATTTCTTGAACTGTCATGATGAAAATATTAATAAAGCGGGAGTAAAAATGATCAATAATGCGATGTAAAAATAATCACTAATGAGAAGCAAAATTATTATTAATGCAGAAGTAAAAAAAAATCTCTAATGCCAGAGTAAAAATAATCACTAATGATGGAGTAAAATGATCACTACTGCAAAAGTAAAAAAAACTAATTCAGGACTAAAAAATGATCACTAATGCGGGAGTAAAAATAATCACTAATGACGAAGTAAATTATCACGAATGCAGAAGTAAAAATATCTAATGTGAGAATAAAATGATCACTAATGTGGGAGTAAAAATAATCACTAATGACGAAGTAAAATTATCACGAATGCAGAAGTGAAAAAAATATATAATGTGGGAATAAAAATGATCACTAATGTGGGAGTAAAAGCGATTACTGATTGAGATGTAATTCAAAATTTCTAATTTAGGAGTAAAACTATTCCCAATTTGGGAGTAAAATCTATCACTAATTTTGGAGTATAAACGATCACTAATATGGGAGTAAAAGTGATCAGTGATTTAAGAGTAACAACGATCCCTAATTATCCATTACTTTTACTCAGAAATTGTTTATTAGACACTTGTTTGGTCATTAAGATACCAAAGCGAAGATAAAATAACTTTAATAAATACGGAAATTTTCCGTGATGGGATTTAGATTAAATTGTTAATTGAATTTCCGGAGTCAATAAACGATAAAATGTCGAGACTGCCATTAGCTGAGCTTGAGAGAGAGAGAGTAGTAACCATGATGATTTCTGTCGAAAAAACTTGTTTTCTACATTTTACTTTTTAAAAACAATTTATTGTATTTATATTTAATAAAAATTGAGGCTTTCAGCTTTGATGTATGAAATAACTGAAACATGCATATCAAAAATAAGCGAAGGTAAGGACAATGAATCTTTACACACACATTTTTTGTTGTTTTTCAAAATCTATAGTGCATACTGGAGGGATTTGCACATTTTGATAAAAAGTTGAGAAAAAACGACCTTTACACTCCATATATATATCTATATTCTTATTATTTTAACCAACGTTTCGCCTTTGCGGCTTCCTCAGAGAGTTGTGTATATTAACCCTGAGAAAGTCGCAAAGGCGAAACGTTGGCTAAATATATATATATCTGGAGTTTAAAGGTCGTTTTTTTTCTAACCTTTAGGCACAAAAACGAAAATGTATTACTATCTAAATTTATTTGTTTGTTTGAAGTTAAGTACAAAGCTACACAACGGGCTATCTGTGCTCTGCCCACCACGGGTATCGAAACCTGGTTTTTTAGCGTTATGAGACTGTAGTCTTATCGCCGAGCCACTGGAGGGGTGGTAAATTTACTGTTTAAGTGCTGTGATCAAACACTTTTCTTCTACTAATATACGAATAATTTTCGCATCGAAAAACTTATTCTTATCGAACTTACTGAACTTGAAAACGAAGTACAAAATGCGTTTATCCTTAGTTTGGAGTGCAGGCAATTCTGAATGCGCTCTGTATACTTATCTGAGACAAGTGGGTACATTGCATTTCGAACTCAAAAATTATCATATTTTTTAGTATTAGTAGACAAAGATGAAACTACATTTTCCTTGTGCTGCTGCACATCTGTGACACAATCATGATACTTAACATGATTAACATCCAACATCATTAATACAGAAGTTATTAAATAAAATAAACTAGCTATGTATGTACATATGTTGATCAGCACAGAAAAAAAAACCCTGACAGAAGCACGTATTTATGCGTATTCAAAATAATTTTGGCTTAGTAAATTTATGATAAAGATGTGAAATATGTGTATGTTCTTCAAAACCGTAGACGTTTTTGCCAATGTAAAGGATGATGTCCATGTAACACTGTTTCAGCTTTATCCATCTCGTTGCCACTGAAACTTCTTCTGGTAAGACATTTTAGTAACACTATTCATCTTTAACTGGTCCAACACGTCTTTTAACGGACGAAGCTGTACTAGACAGTAACTATATCTGCAACGTTACTCTTGTGAAAGATTACTCCCTTGATTGGACAGAGCGAACAAAGAAAAAAGGATTGGTTTGGAATATCCAGAATATGACTGTGGCAACACGAAACACTGCAGTGTATTTATATTTGTGTTTTTCATGTCACGTTTCTTTTAAAGTCAACCGGCCTGATGAGGCC